GAAAATCATGGTTATACAAGTAGTACATCAATATTTAAACAATATATTTTATCAAATTGTCAATCATTACAAGGTGGTTGTGGAAATAATTGGCAACATGCAGCTATACTTTGTAGTTTAAGTCGATCATTAGGTATTCCATGTCGTATTGTTACAATTTATAATACAGCTTGTCAAACAGATGGTACTCAAAATAATGATATACATTGGGATACAAAACAACGACCATTACAAAAACTTAATTCTGATATAATATGGTAAGAAGATTTTCAAAGAAGAAAAAATATATATATATAGTTTTTTTTTTGTTTCTAGTTCTTCACATGTATGGAATGAATGTTGGATGCGTCGTCATGATTTACCTAATGATGAACAAGATTGGCAAATTGTTGATTCAACACCCGTACAAATGTGTGATGGTATTCGACGAACAGGTCCATGTTCAATATCATCTTTAAGAAATGGTGAATTAAGTTTTCGATGGGATTCATTATTTATTCATTCGACAATTAATGGAAATAAATTACATTGGATTGTTTATCCAGATGGTTATATGGAATTATTAGGTTTGATTATTTTGAGATTCAGAAAAAAAAAAATTTTTTTATTATTTAATTAGATGTACAAGAAAATATAATTGGTACTAAAATAATAACACGATCATTAAATAATGAATTTGAACCAGAAGATATAACAAAAACTTATAAAAATTTAAAGAAATTATCTGATAGAAATGATAATTTAGCAGAACGAACAAAAAATGATGTTGATATTGAATTAAAAATATCAGATGATATTGAAGTAAAATTTCATTTTTAAGAAACTAAAAATAGTTTTTTTGTTTTTTTTTTTGTTTTATTTGTTTATAGTTTGGAGATAATATTATATTAGAATTAAATGCAAATAATAAATCAAATGAAATACGTACAATAACAACAGCTTTAACAATATTTATAATAAGTAGTAATAATCAAAAATTAATTTTTTCACATGAACAACCAATTCATATATTAAATCTTGAAGCTGGAAAAAGTAAAAAAGAAAAATTTATTCTTTATAATTGAATTATAATTATTTTAGATGATAATATTCAATTAAAAATTACACCTCAACAATATATTTATTATGGTAAACAAGATAATATTATTGTTAAATATTATATACATTCATTAATCAAAGAAACTGATCAAACATTTACACGTGATGATAATATTGTTTTTAATAAAAATGATATTATTAAACCAGTAAATTATTTTATTCTATAGTATTTTATTTAAATTTTTCTTTTTTCTTTGTTAGATTCTTGATGAAGATGTCATTGAAACAGGTAAACCAATATTACTTGGAATACAAATTGCTAATACACTTTCACGTCAAATAAATAATGGACGTATTTATATTGATGGTTTAGGTATTAATCAAATAGTTCCTGTTAAGTAAGATTTTATTTGATACCTTAATTATGTCGATGTTTTAAAATTTTCAAGCTAATAATCATATTTCATATGAGAATTTTTTTTTGTTTTGAATAATGAACATTTAAACAATTAATCGATACATTCTGGAAATTTTCTATTAATAAAAAAACAAAATCAGTTAAAATCATCAAATTTTAACTATTTGTTTTTTTTTTAAATTCAAAGATATATCAAATCACATATCTCTCAATTTGAAAAAAAATTTAGTTAAATCTTGATATCATAAATTTTTCTTCTAGTCGATCATTTGCACCTAAAGAATCAACTATATTACATATTAAACTTTATCCTACTCGTATTGGAGTTAGTCGTCTTTATATAACATTTATATCAGATGATGTTTATTCATCAACACAAATAATTCCACTTGAAATACTTCATGAACCAATTAAAGAACAAAATGAACCATTATTAAAAACTAATACAGAAACATTATCAAAAACAGATGAAAAAGTTGATAAACAAACTAAAGAAAATGAACCAATATCTTCATCAAATATTTCTGATCAAGAAGATAAAACATTAAAAAATGAAGAACAACAACAACCATTAAAAATATTATCAACAAAAATTTCAGACGAATATCCTGATGATAGAACTTCAAATATTTCACCAACAAAATTTGATCTATCATCAGCTGATGATGATGATGTTGATGATATTGAAGAACTTAATTTAAAAAAAAACCAAGACGAATCATCTCCAAATCAAAATACTGATTCATCATTACCACAAGATTCAACATTATCATTAGACAAAGATAAAATATCAGTTGATAGTTTAGATGGATCTCATGATCGTCGTCATGAAACGGATAATAAACAACAATTAAAATAGAACAGTTCAAATTTATTTTAATTTAACTTTCTTGCTACTTTTTATTTATTAATCTATAGAGTTTAGTTTTGTAATCTCCTTTCTTTTTTTATTTTTCGAATAAAAAACCTTTTAACAAAAAAAAAGTGCTTTTCTTTTTCTTTAATTAATAAATAGTTAATTAACAATGAGAAAAAAAAATCAAGTTCATTGATAAAATGAAAGAGATTTTTTATTATGTTCAATGCTATATAATTATACAAAGGTCTTTTTTAATTGTTAATCTATTTAGTGAGTATAACCATTTTAGTCTCTTATGTACTATAGAATAATTTTGTTATAATTAAATGCAAACACAATTCTATTTCATTATTACAATCCATTATTGAAAATTTGAATTATATATTTTCGATTAAAAAAAGAAACAAAAATTTTTCGTTTCTATAATAATTAAATTTCTAATTGTATTACCTTTAATTTTAATTATTTCCTTTTTCTTTTGTATTTTATCAATGTCCTTGTCTTTCATTTCTATCTCTTGTCTTCTTCAATCATTAGAAAGAATAGTTTGCGAGTGTTCTCATGTGTAACGATCAATCGCAATCGTACGTTATATAAAGGTAAGAAAAAAAAACCGAAAAGATACATACAGCTGATGTACATTTAACATCGTCATAAAAAAAACCTATATATGAGCTCTTCTCATATCAACTAATTCGTTATATTTCTTCTTCTATATATATATATATATATGGAATTTAATTCAACATCACAATATTTTCGTCATAAAAATCCATCTTATGAAAAAAAATCATTATCTAATTTAAATAAATCACGATCAATTATTGTTCGTATTCCTAAATCAAATAATAATGATAATTTTCGAACAAATAATTTTACATATCGTACAGAAGTTTATTTACAACAACGAGAAAAACAATATATTGAAAAATCATCATCAGCAACAATAACAACATGGAAAAATTTAAAATATCAAAAACAAATATTAGATAATGATCAAGTTGAAATTGATCGTGTTCTATCAACATTAGATTCTATTCATAAAACATTTAATCGTTCATTATTAATACCTTATAATAAAGTTTATTCATCACTTTATGGAAATCATAATAATAAATCAGATCGTTTAATGAAAACATTTTGTCAATGTCGAAATCATTATATGACTTATGAACTATCAATGAAACTTGATGATGATGATAATAATGATGCTGATAATAATGATAATGATGATGAGAGTAAAACACAAGTTATATCAAATTCATTTGGAAATTTCCAAGATACAGATTTAGATGATACAACTGACAACGAAGAAGAAAGAGAAAATGAAAATGAGAAGAAAAAATCTTATGATAGTGGTTATGGAAGTGTTATACCCATGAAACAATATTCACGAGAACCATTTATTAAAATAACTCAACCATGGAACGTAAATTAAGAATTTGATAAAAACAAAAATATTGTAATATTGATTTTCAGTTCTTTATTATTGGAATAAATATGAACATCTTTTCTTTTTTTCTCGTCATATGCATTCATCATTATCATCTCAATATTAATTTCTATCCATATCTCTAGGCTTATAGTGACAAATAAGTGTATTTTGATAATTGACTACAATATACAAGGACTGATACTTGACTATGTCAATCATGTCCATTCAGAATGTCAATCTCTACAGATTTTTTAAATTGATTAAATTCAAGTATGATTCGTTTTGGTTATAGAATATGTCTGGCTTTCAAAATCGGACTATTTAGAAATTGATAAGAAAATCAAAAGAATAGATGAAAAGAAAAATAAGAAAAAGTTATATCATATAATACAATAAAATGATTCATTTATGTTGTAGTAATTCATGACAAGATATGACGCACTGAACCGGAACTTTGATTATTATAGAATAAAAAACTTTTCAATAAGAGTAACACCAATATAATAGACGATTTCAATACGATATGACTCATTTAATTGGTATTGTATTGACAACAACAAAAACAGAACACAATCAATTTTATTAGAAACATACTGAAATGTTCAACAATTGAATTGAGGACAAATAGAAACTATTCATCTGAATAGCGCGTTGAAAAGTAATCGATTGAAAAAAAAAATGAATTTTCTTTTAATAATCTTATTGAACAAAACGATTTATTCTAATTTGAATCTTCAACTTGAAGAAAACGATTATGATCGTAACACTAGAACACCGTAAACAAGAAATTTAATAAAATTTCATCGTCATTTTATGTTAATTTTGTCATAATTTTAGATTCTGAAAACTTTTCAACATTACTTTTAATATTGATTTAAGAAATCAAATCTCTTTCTATTCTTTTCATTTATTATTCTTAATAGTATTTCACAGCATCGATACGATATCGATAAATAAACGAAAGACATCCTAGCAGATGAATTTAAAAGCAAATACGACATACAAAAAAAAAAAAAGAAAGAAATCGGAGTATTTTCTTTCATTTGAAGACGTCATTTCATATATTTGTGATATATAAGAATGCTACAAATAGACACAAAGTAATAGAACGAGAATTGCATGATCAATTTATGCCGATTTTTTTCTTATTAATACTTATTCTATATAGAGTATGAAAAAAATTAGTTAAAGCACTTCAATAAAATAATAACAATTGAACAGAGACGACAAGAAAAAGAAAGTACAAATAAATGTTGTACGTTCAACAATTTCAACATGATCGTCAAAATCATTCAAATGAATATCAACGTCTTCATTCAAAAGCTAATCGAAATTTTTTACTTTGTAGTAATAAATATGCTGAAAAATTAACACAATTATCTCGATCAACAACTCGACCATCAACACCAAATATTGGTCATGAACGTACACGTACATTACTTATATTAACACGAATATCATCATTAGCATCTCTTAACAATACCAATAACAATGATTTGTCCATTTTGAATATTGTAAGTGAAAAATTCGATTTTTTAAAACATAGTTACTAATGTTGTTATTCTTTCTTTTTTTTCTTCGTTCTATGTGTCTCTATAATTGTTTAAAAAAAAAATGAAAATTTTATTCTATTAACACATATCTACTCCAACAAACGACGCGGTCAGATGTGCAGTTTAATAAAAATCTACACGTGTAAAAAGAAAACAGAAGGAGTAAGTGAGTGTGTGAGAGAGAGAGGGAGAGAAAAGGCAAGTCCAATCATAAGAGAACAAAACGTTTTTCATCGCGATTCTTTTTTTTTTATTAAAAAAGAAGTTATTCTGTTTGTTTAACAGAACGAGCTTCATTTGTAATAGAAATATGTTTGCCATCATACACAGATTGATTGAAAGTAGACTGAGAAGATGATCGACGGTCATACAAGTCGAACACATTTTTATGTAAGCATGCAACAACCAGGTCTTGTTTGTGCGGTCAATGTTTTACCCAATGATACACTTGAAGTTCAGGGGCAACGTGTAAAAGCACAACCAGATTCATTTTGGTCATATTATCCCGGTGACGTTGGAATACTTTGTAAGGTGTGTTTGTCGAGGCTTTTTTTACAAATAAGAAAGCGATACTTTCGTACCATTTTGAATTGTATATATATATATATATGTAATTTCTTTCTTTCCTTCAGAGAGCAACCAGTTGGAATCCACAACAGTCGAGAATAACACGAGAAAATAAAGATTATATGACAGCGGTAAGTTGCCATTAAATTTTACCTTCAAAATGAAAAAAAAAGAAAGTAACAATCTATTAATTTTTTCATTACATAAGAAGGCCTCTACCATATTTAATTATATCTATTTGTTAAATGGAAAAAAATAATAATGTAAAATTAAAAATTTATGAAAAATATTTGCCAATACAAAAATCTTATGTACCGATAACGATTTCTGATAGATGTTTTCAAGTAAGAAGAGAGAAAAAAAAACAGAAGAGAAGTAAAGATTAGAACGTAAAATTTTATTTGTGTTTCAAAACAAACATGTTTTGTTTTTGATGTATACTTTAAACTGTTTCTTTTAGATTTAAAAAAAACACAATAGTAAATTGAAAACTAAAAAAAAGAATCTTATGAGTATGTGTTAATATTCCGAAAAAATTAGAATCGCAAAAAATAAAAAAGAAATCATATCTTTCAATACTAAACATATTTCTTATAGTTAGCTAAAGGGCTTACACGTGATGATGGAAAACAAATTTCAAATGAAAATAATGAAATATTTTCATCTCGTTGGCATCAAAATTTACCTAATGGTGTTAATAGACCAGGAACAGCAAAATCAGTACCAAAAGGGTAAAGATAAACATAATAATAACATTTATTTAATATAATATTCGATAATAATGATAATAGAAATCGACCACCTACATCAGCACCTGAACGTGTTAAACTGTCCTTGTCAACTCTTATTGAAGTTAATAGACCTACAACTGCTCCTGTAATTATTGAAGAACGTCCTCGTCGAATAAATACTGGTAAACTAAAATCTGCTTTACCTATTCGTCCTCCACCACCTCCACCACCTCCAGCACCATTACGAGCCCCACGTTATATTGATTCATCAGGAAATTTTGATAATTTAACAAATACAACATTTCTTAATCTTACTGATGGACTTAAATCATCAATATTTAAAAGTGATAATCATTTTGTTCATCAATTATGTTCAAATATAAATGAAACAGTACCTGAACAACTTGATACTAGTCGTGATAGTTTTCTTGATTTATCTCATATGACATTACCTATTGAAACTACTAATAGAGAAAAACAACAATTAAATGAAACAATTGAAAGTGATCAAGATGAAAATAAAGTAAAATTTATTTGAAATAGAGAAAAATTTTTTTTCCAGAATCTTTTATATTAGATTGATAATTTTCAACATATTACAAATTTTGGTACATGGTATCGTGATTCTAAAAGTGGACGTATTGAAGCGATAGCTAATTTACCTAGTCGAAAAACTTCATATGAAGATCCAAAAATAATTGAACAACGTATTATTGAACAAGAAGAAGAAGCTATTCGTCAACGTCAAAAAGATATTAATCAATATTCATTTGATTTAACATATGATTCTTTAACACCTATATATGATTATAAAAGTCCATTTACTGAAGAATATGATCAAGCTATTGCTTTACAATCACAATTACAAACAAATAATGGAAATAATGAATGGAATATAAAAGATTTTTATCGAGATGTTAAAACAAAATTTGAACAAGGTACTAACACAAAAGCCGTCTTTGAAAAATGTATCAAATTAGCAAGGTAAGATATACATTTATCGGAACATCATATATAAATAGTTTTATTTTTTATTCTAAATATTTTTGTTTTGTAAAGACAAGCAACATAAAATTGACTTCAATTAAACTTTTTTTCATTTTCATTTTTAATTAAAATTAAATAAGACTATCTATTTACATATGTTTTCATAATATAAACAAAAAAACAAATCTATTTCAAATTTAGATTACAAGCTAATACAAGCAAATGGGAACAACGACGTCGTCAAAATATAAATACATATAATCGTTTAATGAAAAGTACATCTTTAGATACAAGTACATCAAATTTAACTGGAAGTTTTTCATCAAAAAATTATAATAATGAAAAAGAAATTCGTGAATTAAATGAATTAAAACGTGATTTACGTTGTAATGAATGTAAACGTGCAACATGTCTTGGAAATTGTGCACCCGGTCAAGATTATCATCTTTATAAACGAATTGTTTCAACAATACCATCTCAATCATCTTCAGCAAAACAACCATTAATACCAAATGGATCAAATATACGTGAACAACATCGTTGTAAACATGGTTGTACAACCTGTTCAACAAGTAATTATCGTTCTGCAGCTGATATTATAAATGCTAATGCAATTATAACAAGTTTAAATAATAATAATAATAATAATAATAATAATAATAATAATAATAACAATTATAATCGTCTTCGATCATCGAAAACAACATATTCATATGGTCAAAAATGTCAACGACCAGCAATTGATTTACGTCCACGTTCAATGCATCAAGTAACACGTGAAATGAAATTAAAATTTGAACAAGCTAATTTAAGTCCTGTTGTTGTTGTACCTTTATTTGAAGATGAATCTCAAACAATATTAACAAGACGTTCACAAAAAAGATCACCTAATGGACTTTTACCAGGAAAATCATTTCGTTCACAACGACGAGATTCATTAACAATGATTTCACCACAAAAAATTCTTAGTTAATATCATCTTTTCTTTTTTTTCTTTGTATAAATAACTTCATTTTATTAAATTAAAGAAAAAAAAAGGGAAAATTAATTCTTTTATCTCTTCTCTTTTGTTGATAAATATAAGAATAAGATAACAATATTAATTTGTAATATTCTCTTGGTATTATCAACGAACAACATATTGAAGAAAGAAAAAACAATATATCTCGAGATATTTTAGAAGAATAATCAGTCAAAAAAAATGTTATATATTCGATCGAATTGGGAATGTCTTCGTAACTCAATAGGAATCTTCATAAGCTAAAATATTACAGACAAAAAGAGATATGGAATCTATATCCCCTCTTGATTGAGTATATGCTTATGCTCAATGTTGTTGTTATTGTTTTATCTTTTTTTTCTTCTTCTCATCCGCTAGGGGTATACAGATTAGGTCGCATACAGATATACAGATTTAATTGAGAGAAGAAATGCGATCGCCTTTGTTCCATACATCGACCATCGTACACAAAGTGTCTCGTGATAAGAGCAACACTTTTTCCCTATCTAGTTTTCTCTCCCTCTCTCTCTCTCCCATTGCCATTATGTCATTCATTGACAGACAGCTAATGAGTGCGTACAGATATATCGAATGATGGTTATGTTAGTGGCTAAGAGTTGAATGAATTGTCATTGTGCATGCGCGAATTTGAGTGACATAAATTAGTATACAACTGTTTAAAAGAAAAGAAATGGATAGTATTATTTATATATATATATATAAATGTGCGTATAAGCGCAACTGTTCAAAGGAAATCTGGTGCCGCTGTCAAGTTATCCTACTCGTATGATCATCACACATACACATATGTGCGCCAATCTTCATCCCATTCATTTATCTTAGTTTAAAATAACATTTATAATATTTCTTCTTTCACACAAGGATATAGATCATTTGTCCTGTTGATCTCTCATCGAAATGTGCGACACGATAACAATTATGGGAAAAATGATGGAGGCGAACTAGCATGTAATATAATCTTTTTCTCAATTGATGTGCATGCTTGTCCATAAAAGAAAAAGAGGCTGATGACAACGTAAGGTACCTTCTTCTTTCTCTTGACATTCTTTTTTTATTTTTATGTGCCTATAGAAATAAATATGCACTTATGATTTGATCATCAACGTTTATACATACATCAGCTAAACTATAACGACAATGATGATGACCGATTTTCAAGAGATCAAATTGCACAAGTATGATTGCCGCCAGAAATATTTCAACTAGCATACAACATTCTACATCGCAATGATGGTAGTATGCATTTAGCCTCAAGGCCGTTGGCACCGCTTTCTGTTTTTTGCTGTCTTTGCTGTATAAAGAGATAACAAGAAGAGAGAAAAAAAAGGAATTCACGATGGCATGAAGGATAAGACAAGCCGAAATATGCCTTCAAGAAGATCTGTAATCGATAGGATGGATGAGAGCAACACTTGTTCTCTCTCTCTCTCTCTCTCGCGTTCTGTCCTATCATTGCAGTCGAGAATTTAGCTAGTATCTGACAATAGACGATTGTGTATAGAAGAGTGTTTATCGATTGGCATACTAAGTAAACACACCAATTCGATCTTTCATTGTATGAAACACACATGGACGACAATTTGACAGAGAACTTTCCTTTTTCTTCTTTTTTTTTCTGTGTTGCATTTTTATATAAACTTTCATATTGTCTCAACGACGTGACAACTGTCAATTTTGAGGATAGAAGAAAGAGA